TATTGTCATCATGGTCATCATCATCTCTGGTGCATTACTGCATAACAACGTTGATAGACATTTATAAAAATATAACTAGAATATAAACTAAAAAACCCAGCTATAATAATATGATAAGAAATGGAACATATTACACAAGGAAAAAGGCAGCCAGCATACTGAAAACAATTGGGTGCCTCATCAGGGAGATGAATTCAGTGTTCTGTTGGAGAACACGTGACAGTTACGTCAAAATCAAAAGAAGATATGAGTGCATATTTATTGTTTTTTAACTAAAAAAGTTTTYAGCCATTTTTAAAAGAGAACTGAAATTGAGAATGACTTCCTTAATTGCTTTTACATGGATTTTTTTGTGCCCTGTACAGAATACAGTAGCTCTCAAGATTGATGAATTCAGTATATAGATACATTAGTTCAACATTTGAGTTGTCTGTAAAGATTCCAATAGAACTTGGAATATTGTAGCATTTTCCTTCCTTTTGCTACTCCAGAGGAGCCTTTAACTTTCCTGTGTGGTTCATTCACAGTGTTTTCCATTTCCTTTGGGCTTATTAGACAAGTCAAATGACAATTTCCATCAGAAACAGCAGTCCTTGGCCTCCGCTTGTACATAAGCAAACCACTTGGTGATATTGGCATTCACCTGCAAATTGAGAAAAGCATTTTTAAATATATCTGAGCTTATTTAAGCTATAAATTCCCTGTCTTGTGGAGAACAGGACTAATAAATTCATTTTTGAAATKAGTCTTAATCCTGACAAAATAGATGCAGATACAGGATTTTTGTGGCACTAGAAAACAAACTTGTATTTTATGTAACTTTAATAAAGGTAGCTTATAGAAGACATTATCAGGAGTAATCTGCAGTATATAAATAAATTGCTAAATCAAAAGCATTTGTGAAAGAAATTCATAATATATTGAGAAAGAGCTATGTATTTTCTCTTTTGAGTATAATTATTTAATCTAAATACCATATAGGTATTMAGAACTCATTATATTGCTATTCTTGCATATGTTTCACATCGCACAGAGCATTTATATATTACAAGCATAGGTTATGAAGTTTCGTGTCGTAAGGAGTTTCAAAATGGGGAAAGAATATCCTTTCAATAGGGTCAAACTGCAGATATAAATATTGAGATAYAGGATATCTGTAAGTGTCTATGTGTCAGCTCACACAGTTAATTTAAGTTCAGTAAAACTGGACAAAGTCCTATTTTTAGTTGGAATATGTAAAAAATAAAGAAGAAGTTTTTACACAATGATGATTTTAACTTCTAGACCATCATAGACCTTATATTCCTTTTTTTAAAAAAATCTTTTCTTCTGTCTCTCTAGAACTTACTTCAATTAAAGTTATTTAATTGAAATAAATAACTTTATTAAGTTATATAAAGGTCACAGACTAAATACAGGCAGTTCAAATGTTATAAATATTCACAGCGTAGATGAAATGAGGAAGCTTACTTTTTTTGTTTCAAGATTAGCATGACCCGTTGTTTCATATGTAAGAACTCCTCTCATTTCCAGTCAAATGTTTCACATTTCCTTGATTTAAGTATGTTGTGATTTCTGAAACTGATAGCATCTGATTATGTGATAATTTGTAGGTGGGAAACTTTCGGGAAGTTTCCTGCTGTCTTCAGATGTAAAAATGATTGAATTATACAAATTTATATGCTCCAGTATTTACCAGTCTTTTTATGCATTTTTCATTCTGGATGGGTTTGACTTCTGAAAAACTGTTGTAGTTTCTCATTGTTAAGAGAATAATTGCAGTAAAGTAAGACAAGCTAAAGAAGGAAGTCATACCTCAAATGAGGAGACATTATCTCAGCAAATAAGGACATTAATTAAAAAACTGCAGGATGAGTTTGGCCGTTTATGTGCAGTCTTCATCTTCGGCTGAAGCAACTGTGGCTGGCTATTGCTGATAGACACTGGGCCTACAATAAATGAAAATGTGGGAAATTATCTGTTCYTCAGGCAGATTTTGCCAGAGTACACTCTAGTGTTGCACTTCTTTTCTGAGAATGATGGGTGTCTCTGTCCAGGTGGCCAACTTTGTCAGGAAAATGAATCAATGTTCTTTCTTCTCTGTCCTGGAGGAAGTGTGGAGGAGGGAAGATAGTCTTCCTTCCAGAGGATATTTGCCTTTGCCATAGTGATAGAAAAAGCTGATGAATAAATCAGCCAGAAAAAAAACACCCAAAACAAAACCAAAAAACAGAAGAGTCAGAAAACTTATGGCAAAGGAAAAAACAGTGAGAATATTGTATATGTCAGGACTCTGGTTGCMATTTCATAAACAACCTTCTTCCTATTTTTGTATAGTTTACTAGGACATCCTGTTTCTTTCTTTGTCCCCTGTGTGACTTTAGGATTTTGAAAAGGGCTGAAGCCATAGAAAGGTTTCATCTATGGTCTGTTTGGAGATGGTGGAGACTTTTCTGCTAAAATTGAGAAATGTTTAAAGAGAGATAATAGATGCTACTAAAATGGTAAATGCCAACTTTCTTCCAAGAGGAGAATGGAAAATAAACACCRCAGAAAATAAAGTGATTTTGACTATAAGCATTAGAGATTTACTATTTTATATATTTCATTTGAAACTTCTTTGCATTTTGATATCCGTTTTGACATTACTTTCAAGTTGTTTTGCAAATTCAACTTCTACTCTTGAGGTAAAGATATTTATTCTTTGTGATAAAATTTGACTCCTGGTTTGTCAAGAAAGATTTTACATTTTAGCATGAGAATAACTCATGATGTTTAATGAATTTGTTTTACCACTTTTTCAAATAGCCTCTCWATGTGTGGACACTGGAAACTTTGCAAAAAAAAATTGTGGCAGGGTCTGAAATTCATGCATACCTTGAGTAGCAAGTTTCTCGGAGAAGAACCTGTGAGATTTATTTCTGTGTAAAACACTATTACATTGTCAGGAATAGTAGATTTCATTTGTCTTTAACAGCAAGATTTTAAAGCTGCCTTGGGCTCCTGGGTAGTTCCTGCACATTCACATGGGAAGCATCAAGCTGCTCTCACTGTTACTGAATGCTTCTGTWTGTTGTAAACCCAGACGTGACAATTCAGGCTATGCTTGTTTTCCCTGCAGGCTCTTGACATTCCATGAGCTCCTGAGAGCTCTCTGAATAATGTAGAGGTATTGCTTTTGAGACACAGCCAGCAATTACAGCTAAGGTGAAACTGAAGTCCTCAATCACATATCAAGTTAGGCTTGCATTGTGTTTAACCCTCAGTGATTTTAAGAAGTTACCATGAAATTGTTGCAACTGATGTGGCTCAGTCATCATGAGATTACCAAGAAGTCACAGACTTCTTGCTTGGTTGGATGTCCTATTTCTTCTAATTAGATCCTGACAGGATTTCCAGTTATTCACAATGGTTTGCTTTACAGCTATGTGCCAARAATTGCTATTCGCACTCAAGTCCAAAAGGTAATTGTGTTTGCCAGTCAAAACACTAACATGGTTGTCTGAGTTTTTGTCTTCGTTTTCTGTCTAAAATAGCATTGAGATGAATTTTTAATGGCACATTAGAGGATTCCCTATGTAAACGGCTTAATGCCATATTATGAAATGCATTCATTGAAACATTAAATTTTATTAGGAATAGTAAGAAAATATAAGACCAAGGTAAGTTTACGGATGATTCACAGATCCAAAACTAACTTCACAAGGCATGTTGTGCAGGATYGTCATCTTATTCATTCATCTTTATAACCATCTGCAGCTTTAGTCTAAAATTAAKATCATTTTTCAACTGTACTGTCTAATGCTTTAAAAAACTTGGAAAGCAGTTGTTTCTTTTATTGARAAAGGAATATGATGAGCTAGCAGGAACTAGTAAATAGTGCAGATTAATTTAGTAATTKCTTTCCTCCTGAGTAGTTATGTTTTTTTTTTAACATATGCACTGCTTACTTTTCAATCTTGTGATACATTTATCTTCATTCTTGTAATCATTCTGTACTATAGACTTCATCTGAAAATTAGTCCTCCTTTATGTTAGATGTGCAAATATTCTAGTAAACTTTCAAAATAARTTTTATTTATTATTTTTTCAACTAATTAGCAAAATTAATTTAAAATAAACATTCCCATTAAGAAATATAATATGTAGGATAATGGGAAATATTTTTTCTTCAATTGWCTGAGAGCCTAAGTTGTTGATAGAATATGTTTGCTATGTAGCAGCTCATTTTGTGAAACCATAAGCTACAGCAGGATTCATYCTCTCACCTTAGAGGTGGAATGAAAATCCCTTCATGCCACAAAATTCAATAGTCATGGTGCAAGGCACCTGAGAGTTGTAGAAAAGCAAAGTCAACAGCTGGATCTTGGTGCCATAGCAGATGAATCAGTATAATAAAATGTAATAAAGAATCACTTATAGGCTGATGGTTTTATATCAAACACTTTAAATCAATAATATACAATTTCTAGAGTGTAGTTCTTTTTAGTGTGAGATTATTGTATTGTATTAATTTAGATAATCTAGGAAACTTYATTTAAGATAATTTGCTTAAAATTTTGATGAATTCACCCTCATACATCTCTGGAAATTCCTGTGCCTTGATCCTGATGGTCTTGCAGATACCAAGTCACCATGCTGCTGATATCCTGAGTGCTGAAAGGTGCTACAGAGGTAAGACCAATCTCAAGCTCATGACCCTATGAGAACTTAAATGGATTTGATCCTTGATCYAAAAAAGGATTCAACACTGCTTGCAAAACATTTATGTCTTCTTTATCTTTTGGAAACTGTGGGTTGCACAGAATTGTTCCCTTTCYCATTAGAATGTCCCATCTTCCAAGTGAAAGCCCTGGCAGTAGCTGCATGGTCATCTCAGTCAATAGCGATTTTATTCAGCTGAGAGAGAACCTCAGCTAGGAAACCGTACAGGTTTGTCTGGAGCTGGGCTATTGAAAGACAGCTGCCAATATCCATTCCTCTTGGTGTGCAGCTAACTATAAGTAAGAAATTAAGTTAAATGAGGYAAAATTTATCCAGCCAAAAGGGTCTTTAAACCATCCATTACCTATGATTTGGTATCACATACAGTTCTTGGGAAATTTCGGGAGGGATCCTTGGCTAAGAAGTATTGGAATGTTAGAAGTCAGATATTCCTCATACTAATTCAGCACAGACTTTTATCCTGCCTGACAGCAATTTCAAACATGTGTCACATTTCTCAAGTTGCCTCTTATCACTAGAGAGTAACATGGTCTGTGATAGAGGGTGACACAACTATGAAAGTCATTCTTSCTCAATTGTCTCTATCAGACTACAAGGATGGGAGCTTTGATGCCCAGCCAAGTAATTGTCTGGGAAAGGGAAATAAATTCCAGTAACTCGCATCTTCCTTACCCTGACCTTCGAGAAAAATTCAGCTGCTTATGGTTTTTATCACTCAGCCACTCCTACTTTGGCATATTCCCTCCATGGAAGTGTTAACAAACAAAGCAATTAAGATGATACTTAACTGTCTGGGGAAATAAAAAGGAAAAAGAGAAATATTCCAGATAACAAAACAGCACATTTTTTATTTAGCATAGTGCACATTCAAGAGGTAAAATAAAGGTGCCAAATTCTTAATAGATTTGCAGCCGTTTTCAAGCATCACTTGATTTATCAGTATGTGTACAGACACACAAACATATATATTTTTCTATTACAAAATGCATTCTCTGGGTACTTGTCATTTTGGCTTGACAGAAGTAAAAATTGGTTCACTCCCTCTTGTTTCTGTTTGGAGGGTTAGTTTCTTAAAAACTTTCAGTCCTCTTTCAGGGAGGTGAAGGTGACAAAATCTAGGTAAAAGGAAGATTTCCTTTGTGTGTGTCTTAAAAAAAAAAAAAACAAAAAAACAAAAAAACAAAACCAAAAACTGAGCAGTCTCTGTAATTCTTACCTATATGGAAGCTTTAAAAGTTCTGAATCTTGAATCATACAACATTCAATCATTTAGTTCTTTTCTGAAATCTGTGTAATATTTCTACCTGTTAGTGAGCCAGTCCCCTGTGGGACAACAAACATTTCTATAATACAAGACAGCAAAAAAACAGCCAAGTACAGTTTTTAAGAATATGAACTATTGTAAGAGAATAAAAATATATTCTGGTACACAAATTGAAGGATAATCAATTAGTAGCCGTGCAGCTATCAGTAACCTGTCTAGGAGGATCCAAGTTCTGCATTTCTTGCAGGTGGAATGGTCTGTTTTAGACCTTGCTCTCATCATTTCCCTTTGTCTTTCTTGGTCTATAGGGACRTGCCTGTACCTCATGGCTGAAACTCAGGAAGGACATGGGAAATAGGGAATTGGCTCATCTACAAGTGTATTGAAGAGCTGCTGCTGGTGAGTAATAAAAAGCTTGGTTAAAAATGTCTCCACTGCTATCTTGATAAACTTTTGAGCATGTGACATATTGGCATTAATAAAGCACAAAACAAGATTTAATGATTTTGAAATTTCCTGTGGAATGTTGGGGGAATTAAGTAACTTGGTCATATTCCTTCTTAAATGTTTTCATCTGATTTTACCTTGCCATATCCTACATTCTAGCTAGCATGTGCACATTGACCCAAAGCCCACTCTGTTTTTTCACTCTGTCCATTTTGAATGTGTTTTGTCTGAATGTTTCCTGTTTTCTCCAGTGAGAACAAATGATTTTAATATGTCGTGGTATATTTGAATAAAAATAAAAGCCTTACTTCAAAATTCCCAAAGACATTTTGAATACTCCAGAGCTCTTATTTGAATTTGATTCTTGATACAAACTAGATAATATTTCAGGAGGAAAATTTTTTTTTTTAGCTATGTCACTATGAAGAAAATAGAAGTTCAACTATCCAAACTAATAAAGTTTGACTTGGAATACAGTACTTGGCACTTGAAGTATGTGGATTTAAAGGCTATCCAACAGTTTCACTTTCAGATCACAAAAATCCTATTTTTGGTTTTTGTGAAAGAAAGTTTGGAATTTCCACAGCTTGCTTTTGCCAGTAACAAAAGGCTAAAATAAAAAGTAGGGACTTTCTCTAGTGGCTTCTATTTATTATTAGATGAACTTCTTGYTCCTTCTGTAAAGTAGACAATGCCTCTGAATAGAAGAAAATAAGAAATAAGCTTTTTTGTAGTCTATGCAACTTATCATACTTCTGTATTATTTTATCTGTCACCTTTGTGGAGTCTGGATACCTTCAGACTAACCAAACAGGAAATATCCTGAGAAGCTGGTGCCTTAGAAAGATAATGCAGGAAGTAGATGCATTTATTTTTACATACAGTATTTAAGAAATTCCAGAAAAGGAAAAGAAGCAGATGATAAAACTTTCTTAAAATGTTCCTTTTTTTTCCTTCTTGCAATAGATGACAAGTTAGATGTAGAGTACCATTGTGAGGTGTGATGTGGGTTACAGGGTAATGCGTTGGTGTTCTTTTTGTAGTTAGGTACAAAGTTACAATTCCTGAAACAGACACAACCCTTTAAATAGATCTGCATGTAGATCTCATCCTTCCCATCCGGAGATGAAAATTATAGGGAATCAGTGATGCTCTCCTCCCCCTCTTGGGTCTATACAGAGGTTGTATTATTGTCAGGTGGTGATAAAGCAGGTGGAGGGAGTCAAGAGAAGCAAGTGTTGGGGGAGATTTGGGACCCAAAAATCCAGGTGCACTGAGGAAAGAGATTGTATAATCCAYAAAGAAAGCAACTGAGGTTGCTGAGAACTTAAAACGTTGAGGCTGGCAGATCTTTTCCTGCAGTATTAGCTATACTGTCAGCAATATTCATACATGTCCTCCAGCTACATGTTTTTTTCAGTTTCTTTATCCATATAAAGCCATATTACAGGTGTTATTTTGCATGTGCCTGCAGGGCATTCCTTTTTTACTGTTGCATGGACTTTTCYCTCTGGGATTGGTTCTCATTTGAGTTACAGCCCAGTCCTCGTCTCTTTTCCTTTAATCATGATTATCCTGTAGAGGTATCAGACACTCTTTGCGTGGGGTGGAAGCTCTTCAACCCAGCTACTTCTTTAAARCATCAGAAACTCTGTACGAGGTTTTCCTTACGCTGATATCCAGTGCACATCCCAAGAATACCTTTCCTGAGGTGTGTGAGGGCTGCAGTTAGAATGGGGACCTAAATATGGACTTTGTGTAACACCTGTTTGAGACTGAAGACCTGAGGCTGAGTCAGACTTTGCTTCATCCCCTCACCTGAATGTCAAGCCTTCTACAGAAGCACCTTGTTCTCTCAAGCCGATGGGACACAGAGATCTTTAGTAACAAAAACATTGTATATGTTTCTGTGTTGGGGCCCTGTACATATGCTATTATTCCAGCACTGAGTATTTCTAGCAGAAATCCCAAATTGTGGCTCACAGGAATAGATACAGGAATTAAGTGCCATGGATAATTTCATTGCTGACACAGGAAACAAAATATCGAATTAGATTAATTTCATTCTACCTTCTTTTTTCTTTAATTTCCTTTGCCAAAAGGATTAGCTCTCTTCACCATAGATATTTGGCCATAAATCACAAAAGTGGTGAAGGTTTTAAGAGTCTGAATTCTGCAAAATATTTAGCCTTTCAGCTTTCCCCTAACAGCTTCCATAAGACAGTGCAGTATATAAAAAATGCAGGAAGAGGAATGTTGGATAACTAATATGTTGGATAATGTGCATTTTGTTCAAATACTTCATTAAGATACCAGAACTTACCTTTTTCTTTTTTTTTTAGAGGAAGCTAATAAATGCATAGTATAGGTATTTAACAGGGTAGCAGAAGTATGAGATAAAGCAAATGCTTAATGCAATTCTGAAATGAGTTCTTTTCTTAAATTCCAGACAAGTCTGATGTAAATTTTAGTTTCCTGAAGGACACTTGTGTTTTCTGATGCAAGGCCAAAAACTGTGCTCAGTATTTCCAAACTCTCTTTCACAACACACGGTTGTTTTCTCTTTGCTTGTCCATCAAAGCCTTAGAAGTCTCTTTTGATTACTAGATGTACTGGAAAATATGTAGTTACATTCCAGTGCCTAATTCTTCTCATCTTTCTTGCCTTCAGTAATATTTTTGTAATACTTGTTTCAGTCCAGTCTTCATTACACTCTGCATGTGTCAAGATTTCTTCCAGTTGATCCTATAATACTTATCTCACTATRGATGTAGATGAATCCTCTATTTTTACCCCCAGCAGCCTCCTCTGTGCTGTTTGAACAAAAAGCTAGATTATCTGAACTCTCAAGGTCAAGTGCTGAAACTTGTTAGCTGATCTCTGTTTACAGACAGAACAGACAGTACTGAAAATAAGAAAACCTGGTGCCCATTTTCCTATTTTGAGGTTCATGTTGAGGATAGTAAAAGTATAGAAGGCTCACATTTGAAGTTGGGTAAAGAGAAAGTTTTAAGAAAAGCTTTTTTTTAAAAAAAAAAAAATTTGGCAGATTTCTACTTCCTCAAGTCWTATTTGGCTAACTCTGCCCTTACCTAAACTGTCTGAGTTGATTTGGTCTGATCACTCAGTATAGTAGTCCCTCTGGTAAGGATCCAACTCCAGTAAAGGTAATGGCAGCTGTCCAGTTCAATTTGCTGGGAGCAGGATCAGAGTTATTTCCTATTTCATGTTATCTGATGAAGAACTTGATTAAAACTTTTCCAACATGCAGACATGAGCTCTTATGTTTAATTTTTTTTCTGTCTGGCATCTGATTTCCCAGAAACAAGGAAATATTGCCCTTTCTATTTCAACTTAGCTTGTGATGATTATTTAAGCAGTCCAAGCAKATGAGTTTCATTTCTTGCTTCTCTCTGACTATGCTTTCAAAATAATAATTTGCAACTTAAGTGAAAGAGTACACTTTCCTTCAATAAAACCATTTTCTCTGAATTAATATCACATTGTGGAGATGCATTTTTCCTATCCCGGATAGCTTTCGGAAGTTTGGATTTGATAGCAATACTTCCAGAGCAGCACTCTGCTTGCATTTGATGACGCTTAGGGGTGTTTTATTCTCCCTCCTCCTTCTTGACCTCCTTCTCTTCCCCCTCCTCCCCCTCCTCCTCCTCTTTCTCCTCTTCCTCTTCTTTTTCCTTCTATAATGAAAAAAATATCATGTTGATAATAAGAATAAAATATTATGGTAGAATACACTGTGGCCATTTAATTGAGTTTTAGTTTTAGTGACTTTTGGTTAGGCATTTCTAGATGCTTCAGATTTCCCTCTCTTATTGCCTTTTGGGTGATTCTTGGATYGTCTTGGGGTGGTTTTCTCATGTAATAATAATAATAATGGAAGTATTAGTTCATTCAGTTAACTTGAACAGTATGAGCCTGATATAAGCTGATGAGGTCAGATCTCCADACTTCTGTTGTCTGACATATTTCTTCATTTTTAGAGATCAAAAATACTTCGGAGCATCACCTCTTAAGCCGGTAGTATTTCAAAGGAAATACTGAGTCATATAATGTTATTTACAGAGCTGAGCATTGTTAGCAGTGTTCTCAAGACTCAGTCCCACATAAATATTTTCACTGAAAGTAGACTTGAATAACTTTTTCATCTGAGATGTAGCTGCATTCAATTACTTGGACTTATGCACATTCTTTCATTTTATCAGTTGTTTGCAGGATCAGATCTGAAACCGATTTTCTAAAAGGTAGTCGGCACTGTATTTACAAGTGTTACTATTTATTTTCCTGGCCTTTCACAAAAGCAGCAGAGGGCGCTGAGCCAACGGGCACGGCCCGATATGGGTCTCTTCCTCCCTGCTCTGGATTTCCCCGTCCAGGGATTTCCCACTCCACCTCTAGAGAGCCTTTATAAAGAGCACTCTGGAGCTCTTGTACTAATCCTGCAGAGCAGCAAGATCTCACTGTGCTTCTTCACAGATAACAGCAGGCAAAACTTTCAAATTTATTTCTTTACCTAGTAACAGCAATCACAAATGTTTAAAGAGATGGGAAGAAGAAGCCAGGCTGTGCTAGTGATTTTGTGTTTATTAAAGACTGGTAAGTTGGGGGAAGTGGGGGTTGGTGGTGTTTGTTTTATTTGTTTTTTAACTTTGTTAAGTGTAAACTGACCTAAATTTGCTGTTTGATCTTAGTTACTCTTTGCTCCAGTTACTTTTTCATTTCAGAGAATACAACTGTCAATTAAGTAGTTCTGTCAAAATGTCAAGAAGCTTTTTCTGACACTTACTTTGAGCTTTTCTGTGCTCTGCAGTGACTCAGTCATTTTCCTATTGAGTTTGCTAAAAGATAGTCTAGGAGACAACTGCAGTATATCCCTGCRTGTTTGATTTTTCACTGTCATTCCTGACAGGATCAGTCAAGTTTGGTACTAAATGTCCTGTTGAAAGTGTTTCTGCTGTTGTCTTTGATATCTATCTGCTAACTCTCCTGTCAAATGTTRCAAACTTGTTGAACCAGATCCACCTGACAAAAAAAAGTTATATTGTGCCAATGCATTTATTTTCACTGACAGCATCAGGTTTATGCCATTTTGTGCAGGAAAACTGTCTGTTAGTCATCTGAGTCCGTATTGTCTTTGACAAAAATAGCAATGTTTATGGGGTGGTTTGGGTATGTAAATCACTGTATAAGATTTATTAGTTTGACTCCACACAATTATAAAGTAAAGAATTGAAAAGTAAAGACCTCATGTCACAGTAGAACAAGAGAAGAAATAGGAAAATAAAAGTTGAGAAAGCTGCCGAATTGATGTGTGTTTCCCTTTTTTGTAGTTAAAGCTTTTGAAATGGAGGTTATACCTGCTGAGAGAATTGTTGCACAGATTGGAGACACACTCGTATTGACATGCAATGCTACTGGCTGTGCATCACCGAGTTTTTCCTGGAGAACACAAATGGATAACCCCCTTGGAGGAAAAGTGAGCCACCACAGGACATACTCTACCTTGACTATGAATCCAGTTAGCAGTGTGAATTCTCATGAATATCTGTGTACTGTCATATGTGATGAGAAAAAGAAAAAAGAGAAGAGTGTCAAAGTTGAACTTTACTGTAAGTAAAAATGTAAAATTCTCTGTAAGTACTACATSTCAATAGAAAAATCATTAATTGTTTTAAATATTGTGGTTACTAGTTATCTTTTAATTGTAGGATAAAGAGTCTGTTATARCTCAACATACATTTCCTTCTAAGATTCCTTTATGTGTCTGTTCAGGACATTTTCTCAGCCCTTTTCTGCTTAGCTTTCAACATTGAAGATAGCATGTACTAGTATTGTTTATTCTTATTTTTAGTCATTCTTGATAGCCAAAGCATACACTGCCTGAATGCATTCACAGAGCTGGGGGAGTAAAAGTCAAAGCCTTTGTAGTTTGCAGGGGAGTGATTCAGATGTCTAAACYTACCAGCACAGAAAACAACATATCACTAGTGTATGGATTGCTCWGAATACCTGTATTTAGGCAGCTGTATCACAGCCTATGTGCCATGCTGAATCTTACTAGATCTTTTGTGATCCTATTTCATCAATTGTACATATAAAACTCCTGTTAGTACATGAACTGCATATAAGGACTGGTAGGTCTTCAGATCAAGATATGTCTTGCAATGAAGTTGGTAGAATGTCATGTTCTGAGCAGCTGTAAACTCAAGATGTTTAGTATCTGGATCTTGCTTTTACATTGACCCTACTATTCCTCTCTGCTAATCTAAAGAAATTGATTTTATTCTTTCAGCTTTCCCCAGTGATCCTATCATTGAGATCAGCCCATCCTTAGTTGCTGGAAAACCAGCCACTGTCATCTGCAAAATTCCTGATGTGTATCCTTCTTCTCACCTGGAAGTTGTCCTAATGAAAGATAAACATATTCTTCATGAGACAAACTTTTATGCAGATGACAGCACAAACACAGAAACSAAAATTGTGACATATTCATTTCATCCCACGGTTGAAGATATTGGGAAAGTGATTAGTTGTGTGGCCAGGTTGCCAATTGCYAATATGGATTTTGAGCCCAAAGAAAGAACATCTTCTCAGAAACTTAATGCAAATTGTAAGTATTTTTKTACTAGAGCTTTCACACAAAGTAGGTTAAGTTTTGTGGAACAGCTTAACAAAGTGTGTACTATAAAAACTTTATTATCTGCCCTTCTTACCTATATTAGTTATAGATAATCTATTGTATTCTGTTGTATTCAGTAGCAGTCACCAAGTCATTAAATATTCACTGCTGTTCATGGCAGAAGTTAGGCAATGCTTTAGTATCTCCTCTAATTCTCTTGCCCYGGGCACTGAGCCAGAAAGTAAAGACCAGAAGAAAAATGGTATCACACTACTGAATGTTTTCAAGATTGTGTTGTATGCTACTGAATGCTTAGGAATTCCAATTTTAGTCATAAAGAAAAAGGAGAGGAAAAAAAAGCAGTAAACCAAAAATTGTGCACATTTTGGCTAGCTTAGCTTTCAAAGCTGCAAGCAAAATGTCTTATTAAGTCTGGAAAAAATTGTTCCACTGTGTTACTGGGATACACATTATTAATTTTTTTCTTGGTATTCTGTGAAATGTACCTCTAGAAAGGCTAGTGTTAAAGTTGTGTGTGTAATTCTTCATTTACTTATTGATGCTGTCTTTCTTTTGTCATCTAACAGTTGGTCCACAAAATACAATCATTACTGCATCTCCAGACAACTCACCAATGGAAGGAGGCTCTCTAAACCTCACTTGTGTGACTCAGAGTAACCCACCACCAAAAATAGTTTGGAGAAAATATTTGGCTGAAGAAAGCATTCAGCATCTGATAAAAAACGATGTCCTTTCTATTCCCCATGTCCGTTTCAATGATTCGGGACGGTACATCTGTGAAGTAAYTAATGTGGTAACTAATAAAACAGAGAAAGCAACTGTGGACATTATTATACAAGGTACAAGTCTGTTTGAGTTTCACTTGTATTACCCAGTACCTAACTGGCAGATCTCTGTTAGGTTGGACAATACTGAAACACTGAAAATTAGGAAGTGATGGGGCTACTTTATTGCGTTTTCTAAATCCACCTTCAATTTACGGCTGCACTTYGTGGCCTGTACTTTTTCTTTCTATACTTAATTTTCAGCTAATTCTCTCTCTACTGCTGTTGTACATGCACATTTCTATACATTTCCCACAATGCAATGCTCAAAGTCATAAAAGAATCTGAGAAAGTGATGGGGACACACACACTTATTTCCTTGAAATCTAATGTATGTAGCAGTTTCACAGGGACGTCACAGTCTCCTTCTTTGAACTAGTAGTTTTAGTCATTAGTAATGAATTTAATAGTCATTTAATGGTAAAACTGTTTTGAACATAAAAATATTGTTGTAATATTTTATGATTGATTGATTGATTGATTGATTGCTCCTGTTTTGATAGAACCAAAAGTCTAAGATTGAGTCTGGGATGAAAACCAAAATGAACAAATCCTTGAGCAAGCAATTGCTTCTTTCTTGAAACCTTCTCTGTCTTTAATACCTTTGCATTAGTGTAACAGCCTTTTGTTTTGTTATGCAGGTGCTCCAGTCATTACAAAACTCTCCATTGAACCTTCTACAACAGTTCAAGAAGGAGAAAATGTTTCCATACAATGTTCTGCTGAAAGTAACCCTCCTCCCAAGATTATTTTAAGGAGAAAATCTGACAATTCTGGCATAAGGCCTTACAGTGTCAGGAGTATTCTTCTTCCATCTGTGACATTCCGAAATGGAGGAGACTATGAATGTGTAGCAGAAAATAAGTTTGGAAACAGTAAAAGTGAAATAACACTTAATGTGAAATGTAAGTATGTGTAAAGTTTTCCCAGTCATTTAAAAATAGTTGGTTCTTCAGTGATAAATATAATCAACAAATTAAACAAAACCCTGTGAGAACAAAAAATCAACATAGTCTTCTGATCTTTCTTAAAAAAGGAGCAGTGCTGATGAACAAAACAAAGTCATGAAATTTTAATATAATGACAATTTCAAATCTGGATCTGAATGMGTGAGAAACCTATCTGTATAGTTAGAAGTACTTGGTTAGTATGTTTAGGCTATGGTGGGTTTGTATGGAAACTCTGATACTGTGTGTTTTACTCTTTTTTGAGAATGAAAAAGAAATTAGTCTTGGGAGGCTGACAATCTAGTATCCAATAGGACTTGTTGGATCCATCTCTAAAAAATGCAGTGGTGATTAACTATATGACTCTTCCTTTCAGATGGACCAAAGAACACAGTGATCACTGTTATCCCAACTGCTGCTGTTAAAGAAGGAGAAACTGTGACAATGAAATGTACTAGTTCTGGTAATCCAGCTCCTGTGATCTCTTGGAAGAAGAAGCTGGTCACCGGGGAGTCTGTGAAAATATCTGAAAACGCAACTTTGACCATACARGACTTGAAAAGTGAAGATCTGGGGCTTTATGAATGTGAAGCTTATAATCAGTATGGCAAGGAAGAAAAAGCTGTGAAATTATATGTTCAAGGTTTGTAGAACAAGACAGAAAACAAAATTTTTGTTTATGTATTTTAGGTCCAGATCTCCTTTGTGAAGGATGAGGTAATTCTGTCTTTGATGTCAATGTGGGGTTAGAAGGTGACCCTAATATCACTAAGTCGTTTAGGAAGCTCAAACAATGAAGCATGAAGTCTGCCTTAGTACACACAGCTTATGAAAAGTTCTTATGTCAGCTGGGCTTCCATCACTCCTTCCAACTGTATGCATGAATGTATGCATGAGGTAAGGAAGGTATGCAGTGCCTGTATTTCCTTCCAAATAGTCCTCAGTGGAAATCTGCATCCAGAAGAGTCAAGGGAAAAGTACACGCTGAAACCACTCTGTGGAATCACTRTATTACAGCTCCTTGCTTCTTCCCTAAGTTACAACTCTTGTTTCCTGCTCYTGCAAGCTTAATTTAAGCTACAAGAAATGCTTATTCCTCAACTTAGAGTCAATGATAATGAAGTTTCATTTTCAGTAGTAATCAGACTTCTCTGCTTTAGCTCTGCTGCTTCTGCCTACTGCATAGCAACAGTGCATTGCTTAGGAATCACTTCTGCCACCAATTCAGCTCTCTTCCCTGTTCTTGACTATTTTTATAGCTGCACTAAAAAATACACTTTTGATTTCCCCTTCAAGCAAAACGAAACAAGGACGAAGTGTTACCATTGCTTGCATGTCTGCAAATGTTACATGTCTTAGTAGTACTCTCTAAAAGAAAATTGATGATGGGTTCATAACCCTTGAAACAGATGGCAAACGTACAACAGACAGGGCTCAACTAAGGGATGCAGGAAAATACGCACACACAGCTTTAGTGAACCAGGAGAGCAGGCTCAGCACGTAGTACTTGTATCAAAGGTTAGTTAATATAACTGCTGAATGGAGTTCATATTAGGATTTGTTTTACATAGATAGAGTGACATCTTCAGTTTCATTAAGAATGAATTGTCTTAAAAAAAAACTGAGACAAGTTTCACAGGTTCTTGTCATAAGTGGTAGGGTCTTAATGCTAATGAAAACTTCTGTCCGAAATAGTAGGTGCACAAAATAATTGCTCCTTCAAAATTTTTCATATTTCCACTTCCATCTTTTGAAAATAAGATGTAAAATTGCAGAACCTGGTGAAAAAAAATACAAGTCTAGGACTCCTTCCTCTGTCTTCTCTGTTTCTCTTCTGTTGAAAGAGGACATCAGCCTCTGGGTTTATTGGTCTCTGCCCTTTAATGAACTCTAATAAATAAACAGTGAATTTGAAATGAGAATAGAAGAGGCTCCATATAATGTAAAAGTTGTKCAATGTACTCCATCAAATGATAAAATGTTCTTTTTGCCAGCTGCTGTTGTGAAGGATAGCTGGTAACAGAGCAGTGTCTGAAAAACTGTTACAGTGGGCCCATTGACTGGACTAGTATTTTGCATCTAAAAGCTGTTGATGCCTCATGAGTTTTTGCTTCTCTTTGTTGCTAAATTCTACCTTTCTTTTCTTTTCAGTTTCTCCCCAAAATATTACTGTGTTAGTATATCCATCAGAAAATGCTTAAGAAGGAGAGAATATCACTATTACRTGTAGCACATATATCCTCAGAAATGGTTCTGAAAAAAAGCCCGTCAAGAGAAATTATTCTGCCATCAGTGAATACTCTATAATGTCACCAAAAATTGTACAAGCATATATTTGCTTCATATTTTCAGTAAGGTTGGAAGAACATTACAGAAATTGAGATAGCTGTTGTTGGTGGGTGGGTCTATTGCCTTAAATCTATTTTGTTTGTTGTTTCTAGTGAATTTTGTGTCAAGCTGAGTACAACTAGTTCATGGCTGATCCTTGCAGGACAGTACTGCAGTTAACCTAAAAAAAGCCCTCCCCAAAATCAAACCAAACAACCTGGTCAGAATTAGCTGTATTTAACCTCCTTTCAGAGTGGATGTCATTGTCTCTCTTACTGATTTGGTGTGGTAATTTTAAGGATAGGGCCAGAAAAMGTTGGATCCCGGCTGCATTTCTGTCTACATGTGTGGACAGTGAGACTAATCCAGAGAAATTTTTGTATTCTTCATTAATTTCACGATGTTCATTGTAGATGGTATCGGATGGTTTTGAAATTGCATAGCAAACACAAGATCAAGGTAGTGGCTAGGAATGAAAGTATGTAATGTGAAGTTACTAAAGAAAAAAGTACAAGGAAAACACAAAAAATGTGCTTTGTGCATGAAAACAGAAATATCTTCAAAATGAAGGTCATTAATAATACTGCTATTAGTGATGCACATTCATCTGTTTCAAAAAATATTAACATGATATTTTTCTCCTCTTGTCTCCATTTTCAGCAAGATTGGAAAAAGCAGATCAGATTATACCGTTTATTATTGCATTCTCATCTGTAGCAGCAGTAGCAGTACCTGCAGCTGCAATTTTGATCTACGTGTCAAGACAAGCAAAGATCAATGGATCCTACAGTCTTGTAAAAGCACTCAGGTTGAAAGTGTGAYCATGTGAATATAAATCTTTAGTTGATAATAAGCAAATTTATTTATTGCTGTGACTGGTTCTACTCTTTTGTAACATATGGTAACAAGTGACTTAAGAACAGCACCATGTGATAGCAAACTGGTTTTTTTCATGCTTTGATAAGTGTTTTGGTATTCAAATTAAAGGAAGAGCTAGAGTTCTGTCCTAGAAATTGGTAAATCCCTTCTGTGTTGAAGCATGCTGAACAAAGAGTTCCGTGGAGAACTAGGTTTGTACATAGTGTATAATTTGTSTTATAAATATGTTCAACTAAATATCAGTTTGTAAAACTGAAGTCTTAYTGCAACTGTACAGAGAAATTTTGCTGGTTCAAAGATATAAATCAATATTGTTTGAGCTGATCAGGTGATTTTTATTTTGTACTCTGCAGCATGAATGCTTTTTATATAATTTGTCTGGTAGTTGTAATGTTTGGAAAATGTTCTCTTTTCATTGATATTGCCATAAACTCTGTACCTTCAATGAAGTTACAGTCACTGGGCTATGCATTTCTAACAAATTTAAACTAACTTAAGACCTTGARGCTCATTTGTGAAACATTTTATTGTAAATATGATTCAAAAAATGTCTGGGGTTATAATTAATAAGTTCTAGGACTGCTAAGGTGTTTTTGCAGGCTTTAATAATTCACAAATCAGTGTAAGAATTCCGTTATTTTGTGCTGAGCCAAAKCAGACCTTTCTTGTAAAATAAAAGCTAATTGTAGATACACTTTACAGATTTCCACAGCAAAATAAAACTGCCAGTGTATATCTTTGACTAAATCCCCCTTGTGATGCTTGTTCAAGATTATGCCAGAATACACATTACTATGGAAGGAAATGAACCTTAGCAGCAGCAGATGTGGGTGTTGTGGGAAGCCCCAGCTGCAAAGGCACAAGCAAGGCCGGCAGCAACCTCMAGGCATGGACAGGGGGAACAGGCAAAATCTCTGTGGGCTTGGCAATGGTGGTCAAGTTGTTTCCTGAAGAAATGTCCTTCCCAAGGTGCTCACTGTGGAAATCTAAACCACTTGCCTGACAATTTTCCTATTAACAGATAACCAGTGTCTGCATTCTTCACTCTGGTTAGTGAATCTTTCACCACACATTTTCCAGTGTTGGCAAAATGGCTGTGAAAACAGTGAACTTCTTGTGCAGAGGCAAAGATGGAGAGAAGGAGAGGTGGAATCTGATAGTATTGTTCCTTACCTCCTTTCTGCTGACTAGCAGTGGTGCTTTGATTCCTCTGGGTGCTGATGTTCAGCACTGAAAGCAAAGTTGTGGGAGGTGCATCTCTGTGGCTGAGACGTTGAAATGCATCCTGATCCACAGTGGCCTGATCCCTTGCCTGTGCTAGGCAAGGAAGGTATGCTTGGCCCCTCCAAACTTGCACAAAAGCTCAAGCAGAGATATGTGAAAAGAATTTGTCTTTACATTATATGCATGGTAACAACTGCTCCCAACAGCAATGCAAATGCAGGTGCTAGCTCTGGGATGAGGCTAGCTCTGGGATGAGGCAGTGGTGCACATCTCCTGTACCTTTTGCATAGTGTGTTCAGTAGTGTTTTGTGCACAATAAATCAGTTCATGCAGGATGTCTATCTAGATTGGAAAGGGAGGCTTGGAAAGTGGGGGTGTAGCAGAAAAATGGGAGAGCAGTGTGGACTTGGCTTGGAGGAAAGTGAGCATGCAGTAGGAGGGTGAAGAAAAGATTGAAGACAGAGGAGGAGGAGAGCTTTGACAGGCCCATGACATAAATTTCTTGGAGGTGGTGCCAGGCATATTTATTCAGCATAATGTCAGGCCTGTCTCAGTGCTTGTGAATAAACCAGAAAGCACGATTTTTTCCCCTTTGCAAAATTTTGGTGCACACACATTTTGYCTACCTGGTGTGGTTCTGGTGTCTGTATTACAGGAAAAAAAGCTAGGAAAGATACAGAGAAGGAGGACTAGAAAACAGGACAAATGAAAATGCCTGGGACTTTCCAGATTGGGAAAAGAATGCTGAAGGAGGAGGGGTTCTGACTGATGTTTTTCAAATTGTAAAGGCAGTTGATAGCAAACAACAGATACAGAACTGTTTGCTAAATCACGCAATTCCAGAACTACAAGACACTTTCTCGCTAACGAGAAGCTGGTTTAACAAAAATAATAGAAATGTACTTCTTTACAGGGAGAATTTTGACCTGCTGGAAGCTGCTACAGAAAGTTCTAGGGGTTAACAGTATAAATTGGCTCAAAAGCAGAATGGAAAAAATAATTGCTAAAAGTCCATAGACAAACACAGAAGGGRGTAGGCAGAAATGAACTGTACAACGCTCCTTGTTCAATGGCCATTGATGCTGAGCAATCCTCAGAACATACATTGGAGAAAGTGGCCAGTGTATGATGTCCTGAAATAGTGTCTTTCACTGCTGGAGACATCCTGGGGTAGCGGGGTCAATGGTGAGACCCTCTAAGGTATGCCTTGCCTCCTCTGAGTGGCCAGACCTCCTTGGAGAAGTGGCATAAAAGTTCCTGTGCTGTTTTCCCCTTTCCTGCAGACTGAAAAGACAAAAGATGGGTGGGAGAGAATTAGGAGTCATCTTGCAAGAGCGTTTTGGTGTTTGAGAAGCTTTTACTGGAAATTCCTCCACGAGTTTCCAGATTCCTTTCAGTTTTTGGGTTCACCAATATTTCTGATACAGGTGTTAATGTCCACAGGACTTGTCTGCTCTCTCAGGATCTCCATTAAGATATAGGTCATTTAAGTCAATAGGGGTTACCCCATGATTTCAACAGGGCCAGCTTTTCCCCCAGACCCAYTAAGTGAATAGACAGAACTTCTAGTGCTTATTTTAGGAGTGGTTGCTCTTGTTTGGGCAGTGACTTTCCCAGCAGTGAAATCACAAAGAGCAGTCTTGCCAGGGGATTTCCTCCCCTACTGCCTGGTTCTCGGTATTTTCCAGGGAACTTAATGATATCAGTACAAGCTTGTTCTGTGGAGGCTSAAAGTTCAAAGTCAAATAACTTCTCTCTTTATTTAAAATTACAGAAGCAATTTTGCTTCTCCTTGCACAATTTCTCATCAAACAATTTGCAGAGCCTCTGCTCTAGCAAATGTCATGAACAGCAGCTCCAGCTCAGGAGGTGCTTTCAGAACTGTCTGGAGATCAAGGTAGAAGTCCCTGCCACAGGGCATGTCTTTATGATCAAGAAAGCTGTCTGCAGAGCAAAGAACTGTGAGAGGTCCTCTCAGGTTTTCTCTCTAAAGCCATCTCACAAGTTATAAATTTTAATTTTCCCCCATCTGTGCTCAAGCACAGCTGTTGCCTTTTTGTCCTCAGGGGTTTATCCCAACACTGYTACAGGGCAATGCTAAATGCTGATATGAGCCTGGATTTTAACAGATGATTTCAAAATCTCACTCCCTGAAGTTAGTTCAGGATGTATTCTCTCTTAAAATGCAAAGCTCAGACAGGAAAAGATACATTTTTTAAACTTGTCCAAGAATGCATTCAAAGAAGTTTTTAGGTATACTGCAGGGAACAGTGAATATATCCTGTGAGAGAGCTGCTGTTGTCTGCTGGGTATAAYGCTGGTGTATTTGAAGGAGCAGGCTCCTCCTGTTTTCAATGACTAGCAGTGCCTGATCAGGATATTTATGGCCAAATGATGATCTGGTGTCTCTAAATGGAGCAGGCCATTCACCTTCATCAGCTTTCTGCTGCGCTGGACCACATCACTTCTTTAAGCAGAGCATATTCCCCTGTAAGGGGTCTGATCTGGAWATTCCTCACAAGCAGAGAAAATGCAATTGTCCTTGGTAATTAGTGGCACCTTTCCTCTCCTATATACATGGCCCACTTCTGAATCCAATTTGTGTGTCCTTTTACACCATTCTCCCCAAGTGAGAATTGCATGCTGTAATCAAGTCATCTCTTATTTCTCTGATAAACTGAAGAGATTGTTCTATTGGAAGCCCATATGTATCAGGCCTTTTCTGCAGCAGTAAGTTAATCCTTGTAATTTTTTCTTCATTCCCTCCAGGACTACACATACCTTTTAACATAAGGCAAAAAACTTTGTCAAACTAACCAGTCTGAATTTTACCTAGACCTTTCAACTTACCAAYCAAAAACTGTCAGAGTTTTTGATATGACTCTATGTTCAGTTTGAAGGCAACTTCACATACAAACAGGAAATGAGAGAAGTGGTTGTATCAGGGAAACTCTCTTGTTCTATTGTGCAGCTCATCCATCTTTAAGCCTCACAATCTTTTGGGAYCCATATGTTATGTATCCTGCCACCAAGGAAGTACAAATTATGTTAACAGAAATATGGAAATGCTTGTAAAAGGGGTGATGGGCTTTGCTGTTAGCTACCAGGCATCTTAGTAGTGTTTTGTTCCAGGTACCTGGGTACCCAGCAGGTATGAAAGCACAGACCCTCATCTGTGTCCCACTGCCCTTCTMCCCTGAGGAGTCCTTTTGTTGCTGCTCAGGTACATGGAACGGCCAAATGTATTTCTGTGAGATACAGGGGTGGGAAGTTCCCCTTGCTTACTATGTCCCTGGTTACTCTCAGTGTTTCTGCTATATTTAAGGTTCATTGCAAATGAAACAAGGGAAACTGGTTTTTTTGACAGGTTGAAAATTTACCCTTACAAGGGTATCTTTTGCTTTTTTGCAGAGTGAAGAAATTGGGACATTTAAATCTCAAGATTTATTTTTTAGAAGGCAAATATATATTTTTATAAACAATGTGTAAGAGTGTCTAGGACTCTGTGCTTATGTGACTTGAAGTAAGACAACAATTATTTCCTTTTTCTTTTTTTTTTTTTAAAAATTGCAGTTAAAACTCTAGATCCGTATGTGCTAAAAGAGCCAGAAAGGAGCATATGAGGAAAGTATAATCACTTGACTTTAATTGTCTTGGCTGTGTGTAATTGTAAAAAGCAAAATATTCTGTCATAATACTGCTGATTTTTTCTCTTAAATATTTTTTCTTTCCTTTGGATGAGAGGCAGATATGGGACATCTGCTCTTAGCAGCTGAAAGAAGTGATGGCATAGATGTTCCAACACAGATGTCATGTCTTGAACACTCCCACATATATCCAACTGTTACATTTCATGTTGTTCTTTCATATTTATTGGGGCATCAGAGACTTCCAGTGGTGGAGACTATCAGTGATGTAACTTTGGGACACTGCTACCAGTTGAGCCACAGGGCCTCTTTGTTAGTCAAACCTGGTAAATTAAACTAGGTTTTTACATTCCCAGGCACTTGGTATATGGAGCAGAAAACAGCACTACTTCCTTCTGCACTACTGCTAACATGCAGCTGAAYGAAGAACTTCAGAATATGGGGCTGTGGTACTTATTTGACTTTAAACTAATGGGCTTAAACAACAAAATCTTACCACAAATGGTGCATTCATTTGCTTSTTGCAATATCAGGAATACATAGAAAATAGAGTTAAAACACAACTGCATTCAGTTTAAAAAAATACATTGAAAATATACCTATTATTGTTTCTATGGATTTCTTGTTCAACTAAAATTGACAATTTTGTCCCTTCATTTACATCCAAGCATCATAACAGTAGGGTGAGGCAAGAGTGGCATGATTCTCTACTTTTGAATCATCATTCAGGCACTCGTATCTGAAAACCATAGAAATAAATATTTTAGTGAGATAATTTAGGTTTTGTAGATAAGCTCTGGGAAAAAGGAAAGAAAATTTCCTTCTTACAAACAAAATGCAATTCCAGCAGTATTGTTATTGAGGCTTTTGTTCTAGYTCATAGTCACAA